GCTGGGGGAGGAAAATTCCCAAAACCAGGGGACGGGGGGTGGGGGGGGCCCGAATCCCCCCCTTTCCCCCCCCCCCGGGGAAAAGGGAAAAAAACCCCCTCAAAAAAAAAAAAAAAAAAAAAAAAAGTTTCTACCTCATGAGGTTGTTGAGAGGACTCAATAAATTAACATTTAAACACTTAAAACAGCGCCTGACATAGGCTAGGCATGCAGTAAAGGGTGGCTGTAATTTGCATCAAATTTGCCTCATCTCAGTGGGGGCATTTAGGGAAGATTGTAAATGTGTCTGGAGGCTGAGCACAATGGCTCATGCCTGTAATCCTAGCACTTTGGGAGGCCAAGGCAGGTAGATCACCTGAGGTCAGGAGTTCAAGATCAGTTTGGCCAACATAGCAAAACCCCATCTCTACTAAAAATAGAAAAATTAGCTGGGCATGGTGGCAGGCACCTATAATCCCAGCTACTTGGGAAGCAGGAGAATGGCTTGAACCTGGGGTGGGGGTAGGGGGAATGGCAGGGGCAGGGGTTGCAGTGAGCTGAGATGGCGCCAGTTCACTCCAGCCTGGATGAAAGAGGGAAACCCCGTTAAAAAAATATGTGTCCAGAGAACCTGGAGTAGAATGTGAGTTCAGGCAACTAATTTCTCCCTTTTTTCTTCAGCCAGGCAATCATTAAACCTCAGTCCCATGGCCCCAGGCCAGGTCTGGTGCTCTCCTTTGCCCTCCCACCTGGGTCCCTGGATGCCCCAGTTTCCTGGAGTCTCCTAAGGATCACTTCCACAGGCAGCCTCCCTCCCTGCACAGAGCCTCTCCAGGGCTCCCCCATGCCCTCAGGACAGTCCCAGTCCCTTTACACATCCATGCCGCTCAGTTCTGCGTGGCTGGCTCTGCCTGCTTTCACAGCCTCATGTTTGCCACTTCCCCCGGCAAGTTAAGGACATATTTGCAGCTCCTTGAATAGAACATGTCCTCATTTCACTCCAGGCCCCTGCACAAGCTGTTTACTCTCATCACACAGTCTTTGCACGACTTGCTCAACAGCTCTCAGGGTTCCTCCTGCCCAAGAAGCTCCCCCTGACTCCCCAGCCTGGGTCAGGCACCCCTCTGGACTTTGTCATGACAGCCCTAACCACTCTGGGTTGTCACTGTCTGGAGGGGTGGAGGGGTCCGTCTCCCCCACTAGACTAGGCACTTTTTTTTTTTGAGACACGAGTCTCGCTCTGTCATCCAGGCTGTAGTGCAGTGGTGCGATCTGGGCTCACTGCAACCTCCGCCTCCAGTGTTCAAGCAATTCTCCTGCCTCAGCCTCCCTAGTAGCTAGGACTACAGCTGCACTCCACCACACCCGGCTAATTTTTGTATCTTTAGTAGAGATGGGGTTTCGCCATATTGGTTAGGCTGGTCTCCAACTCCTGGCCGCAGGTGATCCGCCGGCCTCGGCCTCCCAAAGTAGCTGGGATTACAGGCATGAGCCACCACGTCCGGGTCTGGACGGGGCACTTGTGAGGACAGCTTCTTCACTGCTGGAGGCACACCACCACGGAAGGGGTCTCCGTAGGGGACCTAAGTAGTCAGGCTGTTTGATCTTGAGGACACGGGGACCCCCCAAAAAGAGATGGATGAAGTGATCTGCGAAGAATTGACTGGGGCAGAGCCTGGGTGGTGGGTGGGGTATGGAGACCCTACCGGTCCTTGTGCAGCTTCAGGAGCCTCTTCACATCTTCTCTGCCCTTGGGGACCGGGCCAGCCTTCTCCAAGGCCTCCTTCAGGAGCTGGCTCTTCTCCAGGCCGAAGACATGAGGGGGAGCAGGCCCCGAGGCAGCGGGTGGAGGAGGCAGTGGGGGCGGTGGGGGAACAGGGGTTTGCTGACTCCAGGGACGGGATGGAAAAGCTAAAAAGTCCAGGGGACTCGTGGGTAGAGGCGGAGGTGGAATACTGCTGGCTTGGGGTACAGAGGTTCTGGGAGGAGGGATTGGTGATTTTAGGGGAGGAGAGCTTGGTGAAGTCATTTTGGGGTCTATAGGAGGTGCTGAGGGGTTCAGAAGGTAGGGAGGCAGGGATCCTTCAAGAGGACGACCTCAGGGACGGAAATTTTAAAAGTTTAAGAGCTGCATTCCAGAATCTGGGGGCAAAGCAGTGGGTGTGAAAGGACCAGGGCTAACACTTGAAACCGTGGGAGCAGGAATTGCGAGGCTGACACGTCTTAAGGCACCTGTAGGTTAACAGGGTGGGGCCCTTCAATCCGGAACCGGATCTGTGGTACGGGCCGGGATGGGTTGGTTAGCTCGGGACGCTTAGGTGGAGAGTTAGTAGGAGTTAACTCATTCTTTGGGGCTGAATGTGGAAACTCGGGTAAGTTTGGGATACGAAGGCTCAGACCTAGCGTGAGGTGCCTGAAGGGTGTGACTTAGGAGCCCGGGGCTAAAGATTCGGAGAACTTAGGCTCAATCCCCTTTCACATCCCAGGCCCGAGTTCGGAACCTTTGAGCTGACCTTTTGAGTCAGAGGCAAGAGGTCAAAAAGGACACCTGGCAGGGAAAGCGGCCTAGTTGTAGAGAAGGTCCTGGAGTCAGAGCAATAAAAAACCTCTGTGGGTTGGAGACTCAGAGATCAGAGGCTGGAGGGCGCTGCGATAACCGGTGGAACAGGGAAAGGAGTCAGGAAGTAAAATGAGCCGCCCACTCCCGCAAAATGGCGGTCCCCGCACACCCCCTTTCCAATATCATGTGGTATCAACCTCAATGGTGCCCGCCCATTTGGCAATCACGTGACAGAAAACGCAGCACACACGGGGAAGAGGCGGGGCTTCAAACAGGCTTGCCTCCGGAAGACACCGCAGCGCGAAACGCGTCCCGATTGGCAAAACACTCGTGACCTTCACTGATTGGTCCGTAGACCCTAGAGCTACGGAAGGAGGTGGGCTTGTCGAAAGTGGGGCGGTGTTTTTCTACCTAGGCGGGAACCCAAATATCGTTTTGATTGGCAAGAACTGAGCCTAGAAACGAGTCTTGCTCTGATTGGTCAAGCTACTGAGTTTCCGCGTGGGAATTGGCTGGCAGAACGGTAGAGGCGGGGCCAGGAGAGAAAGCTTTGTGGTTTAGTCTCAGAAAAGTAGCAGGTGCCGCTTGAGAAAACTGCGGCCCCGTCGGAAGGTAACCTTGGGCGCAGACGAACATCGGCGGAGGGCGGGCGGTGCGATTGGCGTCCGGGCCTTCCTGGGCCCGTCTGAGAAAACTTTTCTGCCGCCGGAGGCCAGGCTGCCGAAGACCCGTCCTTTCTTCCTGTAGTGGCTCTTACATCCGGGTTTTTTCTCCCGTACTGCCCTTCGACGCGTGGGCCAATGGGAATCGCCATTTAGGGAGCACCGCCCACTGAGTCGCGTAGAGCATCTTGGAACTCGTAGTAAATCTCTCGAGAGTTCCCTCCGCACGCGGGCTCAAGAAGCGGGTCATACGCACGCTTTGTTGCCCACGCTGTACCTCCGTCCTTCCCACTCCTGCCTTACCTGACTTCCTCTTGGAAGGAAGATCCTTGAGCAGCCCGTTAAGCCAACGTTGGGACAAAGGATTTGGAGAAAACCAGGGCTAAAGTCACGTTTTTCCTCCTTTAAGCCTTACCTCGACACTTCACTCCATGGCAGTTCCCGAGACCCGCCCTAACCACACTATTTATATCAACAACCTCAATGAGAAGATCAAGAAGGATGGTGAGTTCTCGGGATAGTCCGCGCTCCAGGCTGTCCCGCACGGGCTGGTCTCCCTTCCACCCCCTGCATCTGCTTCTCTTTCTCAGTGTTCGTCCAAGCAGACTGTTCCAGTGATCCCTTTGGCCTTTACACAAACGACTTCCTCTGCCTTCAACACTCGTTTGTTCATCTTAAATTCTGCCCTTTAACCTGGTCACTGTTGCTCATCTTAAAAGGTTTCAGGACACAGGACCCCTCCTCCAGGAAGCCTTCCCTATCCCGCGTCCCTTCACGTGGCTGACCCTGGCTTCCTCCCATCAAGCCCGGATTCCTGTGGGCTGTCGTGGGGCTCTCTCCTCCCAGTGGCCTTTGAGCTCCGTGAGGGCAACGCCTGGGGCTTCTTGGTCACCGGCGTTTTCAATGATCAGCGCACAGTGAAAATGTACCGTACTGGTGTCTAACGCTCTGTATCATGGGCTGGTCTATGCGCTTTTATATAAGTCTTGGTTACATTTAATCCTCGAAACAAGCCTGTAGGAAGAAGGCTATTGTTATTCCCATTCCTCAAATAAGAAGCTGAGACTGGGGTGATGTGACTTGCCCTGGGTCACATAGCAAGTAAAGTGGTTGCAGCCACCGGTATGTAACTCAGTTTTTGGCAGGGCCTGGTGGCTCAGGCCTGTAAGCGCAACACTTTGGGAGGCCGAGGCGGAAGGATCACTTAAACACAGGAGTTCAAGATCAGCCTGGGCAAGAAAGCGAGATCTTGTCTCTACAAAAAAAAAAAAAAAAAAAAAGCCTGGGCATGGGTGGGTCACGTCTGTGGTCCCAGCTACTCAGAAGGCTGAGGTGGGAGAATCGCTTGAGCTACAGAGGTTGAGGCTGCAGTAAACTATGATTGCACTGCAGCCTGGGCAGAGCAAGAAGCTGTGTAAAAAAAAAAGAACTCAATTATTGAAATCGGCAAGACTCTACTGCTTTCTCAAGTAAATTATCACGTTTATTGAACCTCATTTTCTGTGTGTGAAAAACTGAACAAAGTCATAATACCTTTGCATGGATGTTGGGGGAAATTAAATTAGCTAAATCTCGAAGTGTTTCTGTTTTATGGTACCTGGCAGCTAGGAAGGGCTGGATAAATGTTAGCTCTTATCACCTCAAGAAAATTGTCGGGAGAAGCGAAGGAGCTTGCTGGGATTCAGTTCGAGGCTACCGGTGAAGTTGCTCTTGAGGAAAGCAAAGCCTGCAGCTAGGCGCAGTGGCTCACGCCTGTAATCCCAACACACTGGGAGGCAGAGGCGAGTAGATCACTTAAAGCCAGGAGTTCGAGACCAGCCTGGCCAACATGGCGAAACCCTGTCTTTACTAAAAATACAAAAATTAGCCAGGTGTGGCGGTGTATGTCTGTAGCCCCAGCTACTCGGGAGGCTGAGGCAGGAGAATCACTTGAAACCCAGGAAACCGAGGGTTTTTTTTTTTTTTTTTTGCAATTTTTTACTTTTTCCCTCCCAGAACACGGGAAGGAAGCAGAGGTCTTAGTGAACAGAGTTTGTAGTACTGTGCTCCTGCCAGGGCGATAGAGTGAGACTGTCTCAAAAAATAACCCAGGAATGTAAATATTGCGTATGCTTTTAGAGTGTGCTACCCAACCAGGATCAGGCAGTGCTGGGGGCACACTGGTGACATAGAATCCTGGTTTTATTTATTTATTTTGAGTTGGAGTTTCGCTCTTACTGCCCAGGCTAGAGTGCAATGGGGTGATCTCAGCTCACTCCAACCTTCACCTGGGTTCACGCGTTTCTCCTGCCTCAGCCTCCTGAGTAGCTGGGATTATAGGCATGCGCCACCCAGCTGATGTTGTATTTTTAGTAGAGATGGGGTTTTTCCATTGTTGGTCAGGCTGCTGTCGAACTCCTGACCTCAGGTGATCCGCCCACCTTGGCCTCCCAAAGTTTACAGGCATGAGCCATTGGGCCTGGCCCAAACCCTGATTCTTTAGGACAGTGACAGCACATAGTAGTCAGGGCCATCATGCAGGAAGCTTAGGCAGAGTGTTGAGGGCTGGGATTGTAATCCCAGCACTTTGGGAGTCCGAGGCAGGTAGATCACGAGGTGGGGAACTCGAGACCAGCTTGGCCAACATGGTGAAAACCTGTCTCTACTAAAAATACAAAAAATTAGCCGGGTGTGGTGTTGGGCGCCTGTAATTCCAGCTACTCAGGAGGTTGAGGCAGGAGAATTGCTTGAACCCAGCAGGTGGAGGTTACAGTGGGCCAAGATTGCACCACTACACTTCAGCCCGGGAAGCAGGGTGAGACTCTGTCTCAAAAAAAAAAGACAGAGGGATCCGTTCAGCTTCCTAGAAAAGGAGACATTTTGGACAGCCTACCAGATAGAGGAAGCAGTATTTATGTTACAGCGAGGGAGAAGAGTGTTCTAACTTGGGCCAGCCTGTGCAGATGTTTAGGGGCAAAAGATCCTGACGCGTTCTGGGTATTAGACATAGTTTTGTGGGCCTGAGGCCTAGAGGCCTGTACATCATGGAGAAGCTTCCCATGAGCTGTGCAGTCTTGGCTCATGGCTGTGAGGCACTGGCTTGGTCTTGAGGGTGTTGGGGAGCCAGAGTGCTTCCCTGTCCTGACTGCCTCCCTCATGGAATATCCTCCCAGCTCTGGAGGGTAAATGCGAATGGATGAGCGGGGTGCCGGACAGTAGAGAGGCCCAGAGTCCAGTGGAATGAGTAAAGTCTGAGCGAGAGTCATGGGATGGAGTATGAAGAGGAAAACCAGAAATGTCACCACCAGGGGAAATTTTGGCTATTACCTAAAAATCAGCCTTGACCACTCACTGTCCCTGCCGCCACCGAACCTACACGCATTTTCTTCTTTCCTAGTCTGGTATCTAATTTACCCAGTGACTTCTGCTTTGGCTCAGCTTTTTTTTTTTTTTTTTGGAGACAGAGTCTCTGTCACTCAGGCTGGAGTGCAGTGGCATGATCTCTGCTCACTGCAACTTTTGCCTCCCTGGTTCAAGCAATTCTCCTGCCTCAGCCTCCTGAGTAGCTGGGATTGCAGGTGCCCTCCACCACACCTGGCTAATTTTTTTTTGTTTTGTATTTTTAGTTGAGGCAGGGTTTCACCATGTTGGCCAGGCTGGTCTTGAACTCCTGACCTCAAGTGATCGGCCTCCCAAAGTGCTGGAATTACAGGTGTGAGCCACCACACCTGGCCAGGATTTTTTTTGGGGGGGTGGTTCAAAGACAGGGTCTGACTATCATTAAGGCTGCAGTGTAGTGGTGTGATCATGGACTGCAAGCGCTGCCTCCCAGGCTAGAGTGATCCTCCCCCTTCAGCCTCCCAAGTAGCTGTGACCACAAGACATACGCCACCATGCCTGGCTAATTTTTGTATCTTTTGTAGAGATGGGGTTTCGCCATACTGCCCAGGCTGGTCTTGAACTCCTGAGTGCAAAGTATCTGCCTGTCTCGGCCTCCCAAAGAGCTGGGATTACAGGTGTGAGTCACCAAGCTTGGCCATCTCAGCCATCTTCTTTGCATAAGACATTGTTACCCTTTGCAGACCTGGGTGGTGAGAGGGAGACCATCCTTGTTGAGCTGAAACCCACTTGGTGTTAAGTGAGACCCTTTGCTGGTGAGATATGGGCAGTACTGGGTTGAGATGGAGTATGTGGACTGGGTCTGCCATGCCCTTCCTTGTGCCCTCTAGATACTCGTCCTGCGCCGGTGAGGCATTTTCTGAGAACCTGTTTCCATCTGAGTAAAGTTGGGACAGTCATAGTCACCACCTCATGGGGTTGTTGTGAGGAAGTGAAATTGTCTTTAAAAGCATTTGGTGGAGATGTGGTGACTCACGCGTATAATCCCAGCAGTTTGGGAAGCCAAGGCAGGAGGATTGCCGGAGCCCAGGAGTTCAAGATCAACCTGGGCAACATAGGAGACCGTGTCTACAAAAACTAAAAAATTAGCCATGCGTGGTGTTGCATACCTGTAGTCCCAGCTCCTTTGGAGGCTGAGGTGGGAAGATTGCTTGAGCCTGGGAGATCAAGCCTGCAGTAAGCTATCATCATGCCACTGAACTCCAGCCTGGGCAATAGAATGATACCCTGTCTTTTAAAAAATAATAATAAACACAAAAGCACTTGATGGTATCTTAAGTCAAATGTTTGTAGCCACCCAAGTTAATGTCTCATGATAGGAGGCGGGAAATAGCCATGAAAGAACAGGAAGTAGAGTAAGAGTGACACGGGAAGACATTTAGAAATGTGGTCAGGCCGGGCGCGGTGACTCACGCCTGTAATCCCAGCACTTTGGGAGGCCGAGGCGGGTGGATCACGAGGTCAAGAGATCGAGACCATCCTGGTCAACATGGTGAAAACCCGTCTCTACTAAAAATACAAAAAATTAGCTGGGCATGGTGGCGCATGCCTGTAATCCCAGCTACTCAGGAGGCTGAGGCAGGAGAATTGCCTGAACCCAGGAGGCGGAGGTTGAGGTGAGCCGAGATCACGCCATTGCACTCCAGCCTGGGTAACATGAGTGAAACTCCGTCTCAAAAAAAAAAAAAAAAAAGAAATGTGGTAAGAGGTGGCAACATTTCCTCTGAGACCTGGGTGACTAGAAGGAGGCGGCCATGTAAACCTCAGGGGAGGGATGTTCAGGTAAAGGGAGCAGCCAGTGCAAAGGCCCTGGGGCAGAATTGGTGTCTCAGGCCTGGGGGCCAGTGTGGTTGGGGAACGAGGTGGAATGTGGTCAGGGATGATGAAGTGGGGGAAATTTGCCAGGGTCGTGTCATGCAGGCCTGTGTCAGGGTGCTGGTGGCAATGAAAATAATCACTCATATCTGTTGAGCGTTTACTATGTACCAGATGCTGTTCTGAGCATTTTGCATGTATGTCCACGTGTTCGTTACATAGCAGCTCTCTGGTGTAGGTACTATTACTGTCCGCATCTTACAGAAGCGTATACTTGGCCACTTGAGTAGTTCCTGGCTGCTTCTGTGATCGTTAGGTCTTCAGAGATTGTGCACTCAAGGCATTCTGGGTACCCCGTGAACTGGCTGATGGTCTTCCATCTTGGCTGCACTTCTTCTGAAAGGGAGAGCTCAAAGGTCTTCTCTTTCACCACTGCAGAGCTGAAGAAGTCCCTGTACGCCATCTTCTCCCAGTTTGGCCAGATCCTGGATATCCTGGTATCACGGAGCCTGAAGATGAGGGGCCAGGCCTTTGTCATCTTCAAGGAGGTCAGCAGCGCCACCAATGCCCTGCGCTCCATGCAGGGTTTCCCCTTCTATGACAAGCCCATGGTGAGTATTGTGGGTATGGAGGCTGGGTGTGGGTGTGGGTGTGTGAAATGTTATAGGAGACTGGGTGGGCCTGGAGTGGAGGAGGGGATATGAGGGTTAATTTGCCAAGGTGAGGCTGCACCGAGCTCCACTGCACTTTGCCTCATTTCAAAAACTTTTTTTTTTTTTTTTTTTTGCTGGGCACCCTGGGCCCTTCCTTTTAACCCCAGCCCTTTTTTTTTTTTTTTTTTTTTGAGGTGTTTTGCTATCGTTGTCCAGGCTGGAGTGCAATGGCATGATCTCAGCTCACTGCAACCTCCGCTTCCCAAATTCAAGCAATTCTCCTGCCTCAGCCTTCCAAGTAGCTGGGATTACAGGTGTATACCATCACACCTGGCTAAGTTTTTTTAATTTTTAGTACAGATAGAGTTTCTCCATGTTGGTCAGGCTGGTCTTGATTATAGGTGTATGCCACCATACCTGGCTAATTTTTTTTTTTAATTTTTAGTAGAGACGGGGTTTCTCCATGTTAGTCAGGCTGGTCTTGAACTCCCGACCTCAGGCGATCCGCCTGCACCCCAGCCTCCCAAAGTGTTACTGTTGTGAGCCACCATGCCTGGCTTTTTTTTTTTTTTTTTTTTTTTTTTT